TTGTTAATTAAAACGAGAAGGGCATTTTCACTTACCTTGTCATTTACTACACTTTTCCCATCCCAAGCCCATCCTCTTTTGGTGAAGTAATTAACAGTTGCAAATTCAATTAGGGCAGAGAACACAAATGCATAACAAACAGCAATAAACCAATCCATGGCAGTGGCATAAGCCACTTTAGGGAGGGAGTTCCGAGCACTGATGCTTAGAGTTGTCATTGTTAGAACGGTAGTTACTCCTGAAAACAAAAGATAGAAACAAAAATATCAACTGGTGCTAGCAGGACAGAGTTGAAAGTGGTTATTTTCTTTTTTCTTCTTCCCTTTTCCATTCTTTGTACTTTTACTTTGTCATTTCCTTCCTTGCCTCCATCCCTCCCTCCCTTCTTTCCTTTCCCACTTCCTTCCGACCTTCATTCCCTTCACTCAAAGCTACTTTCAGTGCTCTTTCTTTCTACTTAAAAAATGGAAGAAGATAGTGCAAAGTTATTTATCTTCAACTGTTACCATATTGCTTTTACTAATGACTCCGTAAGTGTCTTCAATTTTTATTTTTTGTTCTGTATGAATCACTTTTGTTAATGTACTGCTGAGGTTTAAAGGACGAGTGGATCTGAGGTAGAATTACCTGTAAGGAAAAGCACTTTAAATTGACTCATTGTTCAATAATGTTAGTTTTTAAAACTCTATACAATGTCTTATATTAATTTGTTCATCGTCTGCTTGAGTCATGCTAAGCAATGGACCAGCCACCCACACCAGAAGTCACAGTGCAGCTGTGCTTAAGAATTTCTTAATTCAAGTATGGCTATGTAAGTATGAAATTAATTCTGGGTTTTTCAGCCCTAAGTGCATATTCTTTCATAAAGTGGTTTAGAATCTATAAGAATTAAAACAATCCACTATAAACAAAATCTTTTAAATGTCAATCTCTACTTTTCAAATAATATTTTATAACATTACATTAAAGAAATAATCTAGTTCCTTTCATTGGATAGCTTTTCTGTGAGCAGTCAAAGAAAGCACAATTCTTAAGAAGAAAGAAGGCCATAACTCAGGGTGTAAGTTACACTATCAGCATTCAAAATGACAACAATCACATATTATTAAAGATGCAATAGAATTTTAATTATGTACAGAGGGGATGCATTAATTCATGAAAATGTTAAAGAATGTTTGTTTATGTCATGGAGTTTTTTGTACTTTAGTTTTTACTTTCCCTTAAAAGCAGCTTTATTTTCTAACCTAAACTAGAATTAGTAATTCAAAATATTTACAATTCTATCTGACCATGAGTTAACATACCTTGGAATCTGGTGGCTGTAGTAGAAGTAGAAGGCAGAAAAATAACTAGCTCACCTGCTGCTGTATCTTTTTTAAAAAAATTTTTAAACAAACAAATTGTGTTTGTAGGCAGCAATATGAAAATTTTTAGCCTAATGTTTTCTATTAATCTACAGAATATATAGAATATGACATATACATCTCTATATGTAAATTATATGTTCATATTTAAGTGTGTACGTGATATAAGAAACAAACATGTTCAATCAGTATAAGAAATATAGCTATTATTTTCACTTGCAGCTGGGAGACAAAAGGCAAGAATGAGATACTTCTGAAGTAAACACTATACTTATCAAAATATCAGCAAAACTTTTGTTTTTTTTTTGGTTTTTCTCTGGTACTGGGAATCGAACTCACAACCTTGCACTTGCCAGGCAGGCGCTGTGCCACTGAGCTAAATCCCCAGCCCCTCAACAAAACTTTAAAAGGCTTGCACTGTCCTGCTATTGAGAATGTGAGACAGTGGACTTCTTCTCTGAGTGATTACAAATTGGAATATTAGCTGAGAAACTGTTGCCTACACCAAAATCAGGAAATTTTAGTCTTATGCTTCATGTGGGTGTATAGCTGTACTTCTTACATCTAGCTCTTGGGCCACTTGAAGTTAATTTTTGTGTGCAGTGTGAGATAGAAGTCTGATGTTATTCTTTTGCTTGTGGATAGCCAGTTGTCCCAGCACCATTTATTGGAAATTCTTGACTCCTCAGTAAGTGATCTTAGAATCTTTGCTGCAAAAGTCTTTTTCTTTTGCCACAGAAGGATATGTAACTAAGATTCATAAAACTTTTTACAAAATTTCTTGCTTGGGATTTTTTCATGAATGTCTTTTACGTATGTCCATATGAAGAAAAACTCATTAACTTCAAATGTTCTGAATAGATACTTTCACATCTTTGCTGGCTTTTCAATTTAATATTTTGAGAGAGAAAAAAATTACAATGTAAGTATTGCAATGTTAAACATGAACAGAATATATGTACAGTTTTTACCACAGTGAATGTATAATACTTTGTTATCTTTGTGATTTACACAAGGGCTTGTGTTCATTAATATCTTCTAACTTTCCCATGTTGATCTATAATAACTATTATACAAACAAATTATGATGCTCAGAAAATTGAATAATTTTCATCTATGTCAGTGTCCAGCAATATTAAACAGGCATATACTTTTAGGTTGTAGTTCCATGTACTGTAAATATTTTTTTAAGCAAAGAGAACAAAACTCTAGTTTTATTTGTTATAGAAAAACTTCCTAACCCTAAAGAATACATTTTGAGATGGAACAAGCTTACAAAGATGTAACAATCTATTTTCTTATTTGTTTCCCTTGTGTCTGTTTGTGGTGAATGTTTTTTTAATAGAACTATCTCCAGATTTTTCTAAAACCGTAATGCATCATGTTTTAAATTTTTGAGATTAAGAATGTCATAAATACTGTCATACCTTGAGCTGTTGTTTGCCAGCAAGATTCTTCAGTCCCTGGAACCTATTGTCATGCATTAAATTTGAGCGTAAGCCATAAACAGTTTCTAAAATCTAAATGCTCATTAAGATGCATAGTGGTTTAGGAATGTTTTTTCTAAAGAACTTATGTCTAAGGGATTTCCACAGTTTCTATTGCAGTCATAGAAGATACTTCCTTTAGTAAGAGTCTCATGCAGAAAGAAATAAGGTAAATTAGTGAAAAATTATTCTTGTAATTTCATTCACAAATGCCAGTAGAAAGTTCATAATTTATATCTTTAAGAAAAGAGAGACAGCATACATATTTTCAAAGAAGTATGAAGGCTTGTGATGTTATCTGTTTTACTGCTACTCCATTTTAGACACCATACCTAAAATAAGATATAGTGGGAATTTTTTTTTTTAAAAGAATCTTTGTTGCAGTCCAGATGGCTATACTTACCTAGATTCATTTCTGGAAACTAAGTTGAGCCATTGAGCTGCATATCTACCCTTATGCAAGTTTCACTTCTTTGATAACTGTAGCTTTAGGTTAAGTTTAAAAGTCAAGATGATGGAATCCTTTCTTCTTCTTCTTCAACACTATTATTCTTTTCCAAGATTGGTTAGCTATTCATGGTTCCTGACATTTCTATATGATTTCATGTTGAGATTACCCATCGTGGAAAAAAAACTTACTGGAAATTTTATGGGTTTATATTGAATCTGCAGATTGTTTTGAGTGACACTGTTATCTTAAATATATTAAGTGTTCAGTCTTTATGAAATAACTTTCCATTTGTTATGGTTTGTGTCTGGTGTCTCTCCAAAGCCTCATGTGGTCATGGGGCAGGCTTTTAGAGTTTGATTGATTATGGGTGTGAGAGCTGCACCTGCCCTGGGGTGGATAGTTTGCATATGTAAGGGAGAGGAAAAGGGGGCAGAAAACCATTCTGCCCTGGTTTTTGTGCTTGTTGCTTTTGCTGTGTTCTGCTGCAATGAGCTGTAGCCCTCTGCCATGTGCCACTCTGCTTTATAACCTGCCAAGTATGGACTGAAACCTCCACAAACTGTAAGCTAAATAAACCTTTCCTCCCTTAATGTTGGGCGTCAGGCATTTTGTCCCAGCAACGAGAGAAAAGTAACCAAGACAGAATTTGGTACCGAGAGTAGGGTTGTTGCTGTGACTATACTTGATGATGTGGTTCAAGAGCCTTTGGAAATGGCTTGTGGGAAGTGTTCAGAAAGTTTCAGAGATGTCACCTGAAAGAGAAGCACTAGAATGCCTTCGGCTGTTCTGTCTGGGAGATTCTGGTCAGAGCTCAGAAGACCAGAAAGCTGATAGAAATCTTGCCAGTAAAGACCAGGTTTGGGAGGTTTTTGCTGGAAAGAAGGACTGCATTGGTTGTTGGACTCCAGATGATGTGTGTTACGGTTTCGCAGAAAGTTTGTCTGCATTTTGTTCATGTCCAGAGACTTTGCCTAAGACTGAGATTAA